TTTTTTTTTTTTTTTTTTTTGCATAAGTATTTTCTCATTTTGGGGGCCAAACAACTAGTCAGTCGATGGGGTGGTTTGTGAGCTGTGCGGTGAAGGTCCGTACTCCTGGAACGTGTTTGCCTGCCAAAGTCATGTGGGGCTGCATTCACTTTTTGAGTGATTTAAAAAATGACAGAATGATGAGCAACAAGTGACAGCCTGTGCCAAAATGTGTTTAAACTTTGGAGATTTGCAAACATTTTTGTGGCTTCTTGGCCCTGGTCTGCATATTTTTGAGAAGCTAGTTTGGTGGGCCCCCTCTGGGATAATAGCAAGGAAAACATTCCCAAATGGCAGCCTTGAACCAGCTCAGCGAGTACCAATGCCGATTTGAATTCCTTACTGAAATGTCCTGAATTTGGCATCTGATGTTAGTATTTGAGCATAGTCTTGTTTGAGAGACGAGCTGAACATGTTACACAGTAGGGAGTGAGCCCAAGCATGGTTTGTGGGTGGCAAGTGAGGTCCTCTGAGACTTTGCAACACAATACTATCTTGAATTATATCTGGAAAGGAAAATGGATTGGGTGGGGGGGGATAGAGAAATGCTCTGTGCTTAATACCCTAAATTTGAGACTGAAACAATTTGGGTTCAAGGTCCTAGCTCTTCCATGGGTACCATGGACAAATCTCTTAATCTTTCTGTATTTCAGTTTGCTAAAACCCAATGACAGCATGGGAGCTTTGTGATAGGCATCAGGCACTTGGCTGCTACTGTCATATGCTCCAGAGAAAACTGTATGTCGGAAACATTGCTTTATCCACTCAGATGCATATGGTAGTTATTATCCCTGCCCCCAACAGCTGTATAAAATGCAGGCTGGCTCGCTCAGAAGGACGAGGGGCGTGCGATTGATTTTCAAGAGTGGCATCCCTTGTGTATCCTCTGCTGACTGCAGCTGATCCTGAGCAGCTGCAAAGGGGGAGTATGGACCTGGGAAGATAAATAAAGGGGCTTGAATTTTTGCCTTGTTTTCTTAGCATCTGGAGGGGCCTGGGGTTGGGGCTTG